GTATCTTGTTTATCCATTTAGCATTTGCCCTTACTCTTTTTTATCTTAGACATCATGGACTCTCTCATGGGAAGCAGCAATATAAGGGCTTAAAATAAATGAAATAAATTCGTGTTATTACTTATTTTAAAAGTTGCTGTTGGGTCATCTGTCAGCCACCACCCCCATCTGCCCCAGACAGCTTGCACATTAAACTTCAAAACAATGTTCAAAGTTTTGAAGCATCCCTCAGAGCAGAAGAGAGAGAGAAAAAAAGAAAAAAGACAGGAACAAAACGTTATTTTAGCAAGGGGACGCAGGCTTACGGAATCAAAATAAATGGAGAGCTGACCTGGATTTGACTCAAATCCGGAAGTCATGCAGGATGAATGAATCCCGTTAAGTCTTGCAACCTTTGGCCCCGATTATGCAAAATCACAGCATCCTAATTTTGCGCACTTGTAGTCCAGTCTTTTGTGTGTTTACTTAGAAGAAAGCTCATTTCTGTTCCACGGGGCTTACTCTCAAGTCAGTAGACATTAGTCTACAGCAGGGTTTCTCAAGCTTGGCAGCTTTCAGATGGGTGGACTTCAACTCCCAGAATTCCCCAGCCAGCATGGCTGGCTGGGGAATTCTGGGAGTTGAAATCCACCCATCTGAAAGCTGCCAAGCTTGAGAAACACTGGTCTACAGACTTAATTTCCAGAAGAAGGCAAAATATTTTGCACCAGTCTCTCAGTGAAGATCCAACTGTCCCTCTCCTTGTTTCAGGGGTGTGTTAAACACTGAACTATTTTGAAGGAAGTTCCAATGAACTTAATTTATTTATTCATTTGATTTGATGCCGCCTGACTCCAATCCAGTCTTGGTGGCTTACAAACTAAAGAACAACCTAAAAACTAAAGGTAAATAGGAACCGTCTCACCAAGGAAAAAGAAAAGTAAATTATCATATCGGCTCTTAATTTGTATTTATTCGGTACGCCTGCATTCTGTTTCTAAAATAACGTTTTGCTTCCATTGTGTTTCTTTCCGGTCCGTATTATGCCATCATTCATATTCGCATTTAATTGCACTGATATTACTTGGTTATGCTATGGATTTTCTAATTTTCCGATTTAGAGTTTTAAATGTACCACAGACGTTTCAATATTTTCCTTATGTTGTGCGAGTTGCCAAGAACTTTCAGATTGCAGCGGGATACAAATGAAATAAATGAATCCATAACGTGGGCCTCGTGGATGGCTGGAAAACATTTATGCACAAATGTCTTACTTACTGTTCTTTTAATTCTGGAGAGGCAAGTTATCTGGGGCAGGTAGGCATAGTAGCTGAAAGATGGCCCAGGGGCAGCTATTAAAATAGGTAATAACAAATTCATGTTATTACTTATGTTACTAGGTGCTTCTGGGTCATCTTTCATTTATTTTAAACCATTATATTGCTGCTTCTCGTGAAAGAGTCTATGATATCTAGGACCAGACAAAAGAGTAAGAACAAATTACAGTGGTACCTCTAGTTACGAACTTAATCCGTTCCGTGACTCTGGTTGCAACTCG